GAAATGGAAAAAGAATTTCCAGAGCTTATCAGAAGTGTGGGATTACTTGCCGTAGCAACTGATTCTATAGGTTCAAAGTGTGATGAAGCCATTAATGTGAAAGAAACCCATTTACCTCTTCCAACAGATAAGACAGAAAGCAAGGACAGTGCAGAATCACCTGAACTTTCACTGCTATCTACTGAAGAATCATTTCTCTGTCAAGGGCCTGGTACTGAGGATGGTGTCATATCAACTGACAACAAACTAGTTCCTAGTTCACAGAAACAAGAATGCAATCTATCACACCATCTTGATGCAAAAATCAAACATCTTCCCTGTGAAAACTCAACTCCGAAGAGATCCATAAGAGACTGCTTTAATTATAATGAGGATTCTCCCACACAGCCTACATTGCCTAAACGTGGTCTGTTTCTAAAAGAAGATGTATTTAAAGATGATATGGAGGTCAATGATTTAAAAAATCACATTTCTCAGATTGCAAAGACTGAAATGAGTAGAAGCACACCTTCCTTATTAGATCCTCCAGACAGATCCAAGCTCTGTTTGGCTTTACAATCCTCTTACCCTAATAGCCCACCTGCTGTCAGTCAGTCATATGATTGCTTATATAAAATAGGTGATAGAAACCTTGACTATACAATAAAAAATCACTTTAAGGAAAGTATTTTAAGTTTAGGCAAATCTGATTACTACACCAGGAAAGAAAAACCAAAGCACAAGAAGTCACATGACACTTTTGAGAAAGTGACTCCAAGAAGGGCAACTGGTAGCATTTCTAACTCGGCTTCAACAATGCCGGTGGAAAAAAGAGGACACTCAGTTCTAAGAAATGGAATTCCTCTCTGTAAATCCTACTCCCTGGAGGGAACAGAAACTGATTCTACTTCCACATCATCAGATCCTTGTAATCAAAGGGATCTGAATGTCCAGTATCAAAGTAAAATTGAACAATCAAGTTCACCAGCACACAGCCAAGAGGGTGCATCTTCAGCTGACTCAGAACCTGCTATCAACTCG